CAGTACCTGTCTATAACTGCCCTATCCTCCAAAAATAATTCAGATCTACCAGAGAAGGAGCTTCTGTTACTTTTATTCATTGAAGGGGTTTTTTGGGGTTGTTGGGTTTTTTTTTGGTAAATAGTTGGTGCTTACATAGAGTCCGAAATGCTAATTTCAATGTTGATTAAAATCAATTTTAAATGGTTATTTTACACGGTTTTCAAATTAGAGAAATCCAAACAAGCAAACTACACAGACATTTTTCTGCTGCCGTACAGGAGGGAATTCGGTGGTATACGCCCTCTTAAAAGCAGTATTCTGTTTGCAACCTAGAAAATACATTGACCATTCTCCTTTCTTGGACAGGAGGGACAAAAGGATAAACAGCACAATAATTAACCATAATTTTCTGGTTTCTAAAAACAACCTACTAAAATAATATCCCAACAAGTGATCAGATATTCATTTTTACTAATATATGAAACAAATAGACCTTTAAAATAAAATAATAAAATATGATGGAATGAAGTTGCCTTAGAGAGATCTACATAGCTCACAAGGTTGTCATGAAGATCAAATTAGAAAATGTACATAAAGGGTGTTTAAATCTTAAAGCACCATATAAACATTGGCAATTGTTGTTATCCCTCCACAAAATTCTATTATGATACCTCATTGTGCTGGGGAGGTGACCCTGGGTTCTCAAAAGACTATGTCAATGGAGCACAAGCTCTGGAAAGTACTGTACCAAAGTGTCTTATAGTCCCAGTAACAAAGTGAGGACAACCTTTCCGAGGACAGCATAGCTAAGAATGACAGGTATATCATCAGTAAATTAGCTACTTTGATAAATTATGGCAACAATTAAAGTTTGGCATTGGTAACAACTCATGATACAAGGAAAAACATTAATTGGCCCACAGTCCTGTGGATCCCTTTCTTCAGAAGACATAATGAAGAAATCGCAGAAAAGGAAGCATACTGTGTGCTAAGAATAAAAAAGTTTAAGAATAAAAAGTTTTTAGACCATCTATACATACTAAGTGGGTATTATAAACATGAGATCTTTGTTCAATGGCCAACTAATTGTTAAATTAATAGAAAAGAACCATATCAATATTAATATACATGTAATTAAAAAACCATTAAGACAAAAGGAAAGTGCAACTAAATTAAAGGATGACTCACTGGTCTTCCTTGGAGAGGTAAAGAGTTACTGGAATTGCTTTCATCATGTGCATGAAGTCAACAAGAAGCATCATTTGATGGAACTCTGCCATCTTGTCATGCAGTGCTCATGATGAGCATAAGAAAAAAAAAAAGACTAACATGATGATAACTGCAATTCATGCACCAATATATGTTGCAGAGGATAAAAAGGGAGATTCTTCCAATCCAAGTCAATACATATTTTGATATTTAATCACTCTGATGCAAGGGATGATACATATATTGATACACATATATACACACAGTGTATACATGGTCTTGTATATACAGTTATATATTTTCTATACTCATATATGTGTATATGATATATGGCGTAATTATGACAGCCTTTAGAAATGAAAATCTCGAGAGTAATTAATTCCTTAAGCCTGTGCATATTTCTAATTACTCAGAAACTACCACCTATCTATTTATCTATCTATTCAGACACACACATATACACATATACACACATATATACGTGTGTGTATATACATATATCTATATCTACGTATAAAATGAATACTTTGATCCAAAAAATTAAGAATGTGATAGAAATGGCAGGTAGTATCATTTTTTCCAAAACAATTGATTCAAAGTAGAATTGTCTTTTTAAAAGTGAAATGCACAAATATCAAAAACAATTCTACAAAAGTTTCACATGAGACTCAAAGGAGTCACATCATGCTAAGATCATTGATGGATAAAACTGACAAGAGAATAATAAATGGAATTTGGAATTAATGTGTCAATGCTGCCATAAAAATCTATATCATTGGTAACAAAGCAACTACCTCAATTGGAGACTGATGGTTTATTCCTTAATGTGTAATAAAAATAAGCAGAAATGAACTTAAGAAGAAGAAATTGGGGAAAGAACCTGGATCAGAGAAAGTATATACTAATGAAATTAACATAGTCTTGAAAGCATTGCAAGATTCCTTCACAAAATATCTTGAGGAGAAGATAACAAAAAGAAAGAAAAATTATAACAAAAGAGCAAATAAATAATACCAGTGCCTACTTTCTCATCTTTACAAAATATTTATGAGAATAATCTGCATGTACATAAAAGATACTTTGGATAAAACTATGAGAAATAATTAGGGAGCTCTCTTTATAATTCTCCGTAGTACATCACAACTTTACAACCATGTAATGACCAAAAGGTGCAGAAAACAAAAGCTTATGCAGAGTTTATTGCCTGTTGCCTGAAAAAAAAATAGCATTTGATTCAAGGCACAATTCAAGGCACAAGGTCTCCTACAAAAAGGAGTCTTTCATACAAATGTTAAGATCAATATGGAACTCTTTGATAAATGAAATCCCAGTGATATCTTTTTTTAAAGGAACCTCTGATTACTAAAAACAAACAAAGAATAAATTAGGAAGAAATATACAGGCCAAAAGGGTTCGCTACTATCATGGATAATATCTTACACAGAGTGAAAATAGATTAACCTACAGACGGCAAAATCTCTAAAATTCTCCTACTTGTAGATACTATGAGGTGCATTATTTTGTTTTTATTTGTACCTTTTGTTTTCACATCACATTCCTTTGCACATATATCTTTCCACCCCCATTCAGCAATCCATTGTAATAAAGATTTTAAAGGAAAGCAGTTCAGAAAAACCAACATTTTCAATATATCTGTCAGGGTATATGATATTCCATACCAATAGTCCATCACTTCTTCTAGGTAATATTATGCTTATTCAAGCACCAGAATATTCAGTACATTCTTAATGATATCTTCAAAATAAATGAACCTAAAATGCATACCAGAAGAGAGAACAAAATAGAAGAAAAATGCCTATTGTCAAGACTATGATAAGCAGTTGGGATCATAAGACCATTGAGTTAGTACATCAGTATATATTTGGTACTGTTGTTATTGTTGTTTATCATTCATTCTTGAAGAGGGCTATGGCATCAGGAAAATGATGCCATGAGTTACCAGTGAATTGGATTTAAGTGAGGGAGGGCTGTGCAAAGTCATCACTTTCTCTTCCAGAGCCATCTGGGTCCAGTGGCAAAATACAGACCTGGACAACTAGAGATGGCCCCCATTTGGTACTAACAATACTGATAAATCATGAATTGGACCCAGAAAGAGTGATTTCGATATCATTTAGTCAACTATGTGGGATCCAATGGGCAAAGAGATACATTGTGGTCCCAAATTAGGAAAAGCAAAATTCTAATGAAAATCTGTATTTGGGAAGAGGAATAATAAAATGTTATGAATAGATATCCATTAATAAAATTCAAAAAAGAAATGTTTGATGGGAAAAGGAGGTAGACCAGGAATGAGGTTTGAACAAACAATAACAGATGAGAATATCCACTGGAATTCACAAAATATAGAAGAAAGCCACTAGCATGTTAGGTAGAGATTCTGCAGAAGAACAAGGACAAGAATCACTAAAGATGAAAACATAGATGAATGACAGTCTAAACCCATAGAATCTACAATAATGAGATCATGGATCTACTAAAATATTTATGTATCATCATCTAATCCAGCCTACTTACCTTACAGATTAGTGAACTGAGGTAAAGAGAGGATAAGTACTATACTCATGGTCACACAGCTATGAGGTATCTTTTTTCTAATAACAGTGAGTCTAAATATCATCACTTTGGGTTGCTAAAATCAACTTTTCATTTTTATATGTCCATTATGTTTAAAGGTGAAGAAATGAGTTAACTCACTTTCTGGTGATTAGCTCTGACCCAAGTTGAATTTAGCAGTCAGAAAATGTCCAAACTAACTACTCAGGGGTATTTTTTTTTTTTAGAGTTAAAAGAGAGTTGCTTAAATCAGTCTACTTAATGTTCCCTAAATTTTGAAAAATCTTATTTAAATAACCTCAACCATCTCAATATAAGTGTATGTTTGTATATATACACACACATACACAGATATACATATACATATATATTTGTGTGAGAGCACTATTCACTCAGTGATTAAAAACTACATGGCTTTTAAAATACTTCTGAAGCACATGCATATTCATTAAGGATATAAAAATTCTAGTTATAATTTTGAAATGGTTTTGATGAAAGAAAAAATGAACTTTAAGAAATTGCTATTAAGAAAAAGTGGTGCTTGTTTATAAACTTTATGGTTTATAAAAATATATATGTATGTGTATATATAGTATTTATTATGTATCATATGCTATATATGGATGTGTATATATGTGTATGTACGAATGTATGTGTGTGTGTATATATATATATGTATATATATATATAGTCTCTTTTAATCCTTCCAATGCTGGAAGCTAAACAGGCAACATTATCCTCATAGTTATTACACATGAAGAAATTGCAGATCAAGGAGCTTGCCTGGAGACCCACATGTATAAAGTTGAGGGGGAGGGGAGTACAAAATCTTCTGGCTTCAAGTCCAGAGATTTTCCACTGTGCCATGCTTCATGGTATTCTACAAATATACTACAAAGAACCAACACATGGGGAGACAAATTTTCATTACTACAGGAAGCCCAAAGATAGGAGAAGTCCAATTCCTATCATCCCCCTAGACAGATGGTAGAATTTCTAACGTGTCTGGGCTATTTATGACAAAGCATCCTGGTTGCAGTAATAACTGAAAATGGTTTTCCTTGCATTGCTTCCCAACAAGGGCAGTCTGGGAGGAAAAGTTAACACGAAATATATACCCACGGCAGAAGCAATTACAAGAACTGCACATTTACCACTGAATAAGATTCTCAAAATAAATGGCATGTTTACCACCCCCAGGGTTGAAAAGGGAAGAAAATACACCTACTTACCAGACATCATCTAAAGCCAACAGGACAAGGGAATGAGAACAGGGGGCGTGTAAGTATGGATATCTGCACTCCAGCCCACAGAGAAAAAGCAGCAACTACAGCTCTCAGAAAGGGCCCAAGACGAAGAAACGAGGTTCCTCCAGAGGAAGAGGGGTGTGGAGGGTGTGGGGTGGGGGAAAGGATGGAAAATCTTGCCTGACTTTGCAGGTCTCTTGCCTGCAAAAGAGAATAAATTAATTTCCCTCGATCTGCTCACAGCTGCAAATGTCCCCTCCCCCTCCAAGGCAGCAGAAGCAGAGTAAGGCATGCCCCAGCCGCCGAGCAGCCAGGCTCACCCGCAAATGCTCTGGCTGTCAAGGGCACGCCACCCCTGGGACCAAATTGCTCTTGCCCACACTTCTGCTCTTCCTCCCCCTCCACACCTGTGCGGGGCTCACCCTCCTTTCCTGCACTCGGTCAGTGCCCTTTCCCCCACGCCAACTGTGTCCCCGTCCCGGGCCCCGAAACCTGTTGGGTGCTGACCAAGGGTGAGCTCAAACCCTCCCCGGTCCGGAGTAGCCCTGCACCCCTCTCCAGTCCCTCCCGCCCCACCCCCGCTGAATCAGGGACTACCTCTTCCCCCAGCACTAGGGCAGCCTCTGTAGTCCAGGTCTGCCGAGCTGGGAGTCCCCGGAGCCTTCTGCCTGCTGGGATTGGTCGCTCTCTGGAAAGCCGGCCCCGCCCCTGCCTCTGTGCAGCCGCCCCCAACCCTAGTCCAAGCGACAACAGTAGCCTCCGGAGCCCCTCCAGTGCTTTCCTCGCTACCAATCGCCCCTAACCCCAGGACTCCTAGGGACACAAGGGTGCACCCGGTTACTGATTGGAGGTAGATGGAGGAAAGGAGGTGAGCGCTCTCCTTTCCAGTCCTCTAAATTCAGTGATTTCAATGCATGGACATTTAACCTTTAACCCACCCACCACAAAGTCAATGTTTACAGTGGCCTCAGGGGAAATGGGCAAAAGGCCAGAATTCTGGTATCTATGTAGAAATCCATCCATCCTAGTAAAAGGAGAACAACACTGTAAAACTTTACTGATTGAAAATCAAACTTCCTACATGTAAACCCGGAAGACAAGTTACCCTAGATTCATAGGTGGACTAGGTGAGCAATTGGAGACAAAGAGACAAAGATCGCTGGAATTCCCAGGAGAAGGGCCAGGTCTATCCAAGGAGAAAAAGGGCCCAGAAGAACCGTGTTGTCAGGGCCATGTGTCAGCAATGAACATTTGATATATGGTATTGTGGGTAACAGTGAGCAAATAGGAGACACCAGTGACCAGGGAAATGTGGACAATAAGTAAACAGACTGTAAGCTTACCATCTTACACTAGATACAAGAAGCAACTAGAGAACATTATAATCTGTGATGAAGAGCTAAATGGTGGGATACCCAAAAGCTGAGTGCTAGAGACAATGAGATAAAGGAGAGATCAAAGTAGAGAAGATTTATCTGGGAATGATTGTTCCAAGAGGCTGGTAATAGCTGAGCTGGGCCTTCCAAGAACCCTGAGAATTAAATTAATAGAGGAGAAAGAGGTCTTTCAGCAACTATCACCTGGGACAAGCAACAGACAGGTCTTATTTGCCCTTATGGGTTATGGGCACTCCAGAGATAGTTATTGGCAAAGAAGTGCTGCATCTCCAATGAATTGCTTTGCTAATAAAATTGTTTGCTGTGTACTTAGGATGTATGGCTAATTGCACTTGAGGAGCATTGGACTACTTTCACAAAGCAAATTGAGTAAATCCCCATAATGGCAGGTCATCAGGCAATTTGTAGAGGTAACAGGCTGCTGCTTTTTTTTTTTATTTATTTCTTCTTCAATCTCTCTATATACCACATCCCCTGAGTCCTTCCAAAAAAGAAAATAAACATGCAAGAATTGTTTGGTGTGTTTTGCAAAAAGGTGGGGGAAATAAAGACTGCCTTGCTCAGCATCAGCGAGACCTCCCATCAAGTCCCAGAAGAAGCAGAGGAGATAGGGTCAAAACTCTGAGGCCATACAAAGCTGAAGGATAGGTTGCCCCAACAGGGAAGAAAACAATAGAAGATCAAGGAAACCATCTTTCCCCACTACCTTGCATAGGTGGGTTTTGGACACTTGGGGACAGTACCTTTTTCTATTGTCCCCTAAGCTGCTGCTGCCACCGTGGAAAAGAGAACAAATTTTTAGTCATTTCAACCCTAATCTTTCTGTATTATTTGTCTGTGTGCCAGGGCAGATACACACACATACACATATATGTATATGCATTGTGTAGTTTGCATGTGTGCGTGTACATGTATTCATAAGTGGCTGTCTGATCCTGACATAACTGCATCTTGATATGGCAGTGAGTGTGAGTGCTTGTGTATGTCTCTGAGTAGCATGAATCATTGTGTATATGTCTGCTTCCTGTTTCCAGTTCACACAGGTAAAGCTGCCTAAGGAAAGGAAGGCAGGATGAGGAAAGGATGATCAGTGGGGGCCTTTTACTTATTGGAGAGAAGTAGGTACTGGACTGACTTCTGAAGTTACGCAACTCATTCACTAGGAAATAGGTGCCTCTGGAGCATGTTGCCATTAAATCAATCAATGAATGTTTATTAAGCACCTACCATATGCCAGGATTGTGCAAAGTCAATCAATCAAATTTGATTATTTTTTGTTGATAGACTAATCCTATTTCTCTGCCCTTTCAACATTCACTGGCCTTCTATATGTTTAGATCCTTTCCCTACTGCCTTTGATAAAAAGGGGAAAGTTCAATAGAAAAGGTTTTAAAAATGTTATTTTGAATACAAAGGCATATTAGTCTGTATTTTGCAGGGTGGTACACCTGAACGTTAGACCAAACTATCTTCTACTGAATGTAAGAAATGTCAAACATGACCCACTTCAAGAACATAACTAATTCAGAATAATAGTCAGATGTAGTGTTTAATAAGGTGCAGTTACTTGGGAGCCCACAATGTAGTACAGGTGCTAATCTCCATGTTCAAATTCCCTATATTCTAATGGCAGGGGGAGAATGTGGGGCAGATAAACATAGCCTAATCTGTAGGGCTTCTAGTTTTATTGTGGGCTTTCATATACATATAAAAGGCTGGAGATTAGAAGACCATTTTCTTAGCTCATCTGTTGTGCTTTCTTAGATACATTTGCCAGGCAAGACTCAAAGATTTGGGGAGCAGAGGGAAGCCAGTTTCTTAGATCAACATAGCCCTCTGGGGTTTTTTGAAATGCAACCTTTTGAAATGGATTGAGTAGAAATTCAGATTGACAATTTCAGATTTATTAGAGCTGAAGTGAAGTTTTAAACCACAAAACACAGGTTTAGAACAGGGAAATTTATACCGTCAGCAGAAACAAGTGAGATCAGAGACAAACTTAAATACTGCAATCTCTAAATAAGTGGTTGACTGTTAGACCTTTGACATGACTGGAATACCCCAAGGATCTGTGCTTGGTCCTGTGCTGTTTGACATTTTTTTTATCATTTACTTGAGCATTTTTTTTTTTGGTTAGGCAATGGGGTTAAGTGTCTTGCCCAGGGTCACACAGCTAGTAAGTGTTAAGTGTCTGAGGTCACATTTGATCTCAGATCCTCTTGACTCCAAGGCCAGAGCTCTATGCACTGCGCCACCTAGCTGCCCCCCTATCATTTACTTGAATAAAGGGATAGATGTCATGGATTACGAAATCCTTGAGGACAACGACTGTCTTTTGCCTCTTTTTGTATCCCCAATACTCAGCACAGTGCCTAGCACATAGTAGGCTATGTTTATTGATTGATAGACATGGTCATCAAATTTGCAGTTACCAAGAGCTAGGAGAAATGCCTATAATATATGAGATGACAGATAGAGAGATAGATAGATAGATATATAGATAGAGATAGAGATACATAGTTATATATAGTTATATGGCTATATAGCATTGGATTGAATCTAATTAAAAAGGACTTCAAAAGGAATAGATGTACAAAACAAACAAACTAACACCTTCACAGATACAATAAGGGAGAGGTATAATTTGGTGGCAATTGTTTTAAAAACAATATGGGATTTTAATGGATTGAAAACTTGTTATGAATCAGCAGTGTGATGTAGCAGTAAAAAAAAAAAGCTAAGGTAATTTGGGGCTGTATCTAGAGGCATAGCTTTCAGGAATAAGACAGGTTTTAGTCCCATTGTATTCTGCCTTCATCAGGCCTCCTCTGGAGCATTGCATGAAATTCTTGGTGCCACAGTTTAAGGACATCAATAAGCTAGAAAAAAAAAATCCAGTGGAGAGCAACCAGTATGGTGATAGGAATTGAGTCATTTCCTGTGAGAATTGGTTGAAGGACCTAGAAATGCTTAGCCTGGAAAATACAGGAATAAGTGGGGTTGATGAGGTAGAAAAGAGTGCTTGAGCTATGTTGGCTTTACTACTATTCCCCAATCACCCCTTTTTTGTTGTTGTTGAGGTCCACCATGAAAATTTAAAATCTATATTTGACTCTAGAAAGAAAAACGAATGTACATGGTAGCTAGAGTCCATTTGGTGCGAGCAGTAATGAGCTCCTGGAAATTCCCAGAGCTTCCAGGAGAAGAGAATACATGTTTTCTTGGGGGGATGGGGAGATGTATCTTTTGCTGTTTGCTCTGAATATTACTAAATATTTCAACAGCCTACTGTGTTACAGAAGCAATCAATTTCAATTCTTCAGTTCACCCTTTCCTCTTCCTCTGTCTCCCTATCTCTCCAACTTGGAATCACTATTTTACATCACTATTATATATTACATAAAGAAACATTTCTTTTTAGAGAAAATAATTAATAGTATGTTATAGTGAAAAGAAGAAGCAATTAGCCATAGTGGATAAAGGGCCAGCCTCCGAATCAGAATAACTTGGATTTAAGTCTCACCTCTTACAAACTGACTGTGTGATCTCACGCATGTCAATTAATCTCTTGGTGTCCTAGAAGACATAGAATGGCTATAGCTTTGCAGAGAGTTTCCACACCAACAACTTATAAAATCAAAGGTCTAGAAAACAAACAAAAAAAAACAACTCAAACAGTGAAAAGTCTTGACTTTGTAGTCAGACGACCTCTGTTGAAGCTTTATATTACTACCTATTATCTGAGTGACCTCAGAAAA